CCCGTAATCCCAGCTATTCAGGAGGCTGAGGCAGGAGAATCACTTGAACCTGGGAGGCAGAGGTTGCAGTGAGACAAGATCGTTGCACTCCAGTCTAGGCAACAAGAGCATCTCAAACTCTGTCTCAAAAATAATAATAGTATTAATAATAATAAAAAGCGTGGCATAGTAAACATAAACCAGTAACACTGTCTATTATTGTCAGGTGTTGTGTACCATACATAATTATAGGTGCTAGACAGCAATGCAGTAGATTTGTTTACACCAGCATTACCACAAATGTGAGTAATGCATTGTACTGTGACTTCAGGACAGCCACGAGGTCAGAGGCCATAGGAATTTTTCAGCTCTCTTGTAATCTTATGGGACCACTATTGTATATGTGGCCTGTCATTGACCAAAATGTCCTTAGGTGGCAATGCCTGTATTAAAGTCAAGACAGCAACCATGTTGGGTGAGGTGGCTCACACCTATAATCTCAGCTACTGAGGAGGCTGAGGCAAAAGAATAACTTGAACCTGGGAGGTGGAGTTTGCAGAGGGCCGAGATTATGCCACTGCACTCCTGCCTGGGTGACAGTGAGACTCTGTCTCAAAAAAAAAAAAAAAAAAAAAAGCAACCACACAGTATCAAACCACTGGGGACCTCCTTCTCAGCATTGTGCTAATGGCCTGTTCATGAATCCAGCTTTCTTAGTGGGTCATTTCTCTGGGAGCCTTTCTGTTTCCCTGGAGAAGGTGTCTACATCCTGGTGTCCTGGGAGCTGGATGAAAATGGGCTCCTTCAGAGACCTGTATTCAGCGCTCAGACCCTTGCCTGGTCCCCCTGTGCCTGTGACCATGTCTGGGCTGTGCTGATTCAACTTCTCTGGAGAATAAACCTCCATCACCTGGGTGGGGACTTTGGCCCTTCCTGGTCCGTGCACAGGGACATTTGCAACCTCTCTCCCTGTTTTCTGACCCTGCCGCCTGTACCTTTGCAGTGTCTGGAGCGTCTAGTTGGGCTGAGCCCACTCACTCCTCACTGAGCATGTGGGGGGCACTTCCACCCTCTGCAGCACTGCCAACCACTCACCTCTTCATCAGCTCACCACCTTTCAAAGATGTGTGACATCTTCCGCCTGCTATCTTGTCCCCTTCCTCCCTGAGGGGGGGTTTTCAGCTGGTTTATTCTTTTGCTGTTCTTTTATCGAGGATTTGATAAGAAAAGGAGAAGAAACTGTGCGTTGGCCTCACTGTGCCTTACCAAAGCCAACTTAAGTCTAGGGTATACGTCTGTTTTAGAAGGTGATATTCCTTCATGAGGCACGTATTGAGCACCTACTGTGTGCTAAGCCCTGTGGGGATGGGACGTGCTAGGAGACAGTGCTGAAGAGCCGGTTCCTGCCTCTGAGTGGCCTGACTGTGAATCCAGAGGGGAGAGGATGCAGAAGGTTATGACTGAGGGGGAGAGTGTGGGGTGTTAGAAGTCTGTACACAGGGCCTGGGTGGCACCAGGGACAGAACCCAGACTTGAGGGTGCACTTCAGGAAGGTGCTTACTGAGCAGAGAGGGGAGGATCAGATTTTTATTTTTATTTACTTTTTTTTTTTTTTTTTATTTTTTTTTTTTTTAAATAATCTCTTTGCTGTTAGGTTCTCACTTAACCTTTGTGCTAGAAGTGATTCTGCTTTTGGCTTTTCTCTCATCAGCCCCTCTGTTCCCCAATTATTATTTTTTTTAAATCAACTGCTTCTAATCTCCCTGGGTCTGGAATAGCAGACAATCAAGTGTGTTGGAAATGTGTCTAAAATAAGAGTTAATTAGGCTGTGAAGTAAGGTTTGAGGGACTCAGCTGTGAGTAAAATGCATAAACTTTAATGTATCAATTTTATAACATCTATTTTTACTACCCAGTAGCCTTCTTAACTTCTGCAGCTTAATTTATGTTCCAGATGACCAACATTGCCATATACATGAGGCATAACAACCATTCTATTATAAAACTTTAAACATCAGCTGCTGTCTGTATATTTCTTCTATCCCCATAGCCTTCTTTCTCCATTAAAAAAATATACCAGCCTTTGGTTTGCCCATGGTGTAAATTTTTTATTTTTTGTTTTTGAGACAGGGTCTCGCTGTGTCATCCAGGCTGGAGTGCTGTGCCACAGTCATGGTTCACTGCAGCCTCTACCTCCTGCGTGCAAGTGTTCTCCTTGCCTCAGTTTACTGAGTAGCTGGGTCCACAAGCACATACCACCATGCCTGCTAATTTTTAAATTTTTTTTGTAGAGGTGGGGTCTCCCTTTGTTGCCGAGGGTAGACTGATTCTGGGCTCAGTGATTTTCTTGCATTGGCCTCCCAAAGTGTTGGGACTACAGGCATGTGCCACTGTGCCTGGCCCCCAGCCCACAGTGTAAATTTTTATTTTCCATGTTTCTTTGATTTGAAAAGGCCTACTTTATCACATTATAATATCTGTAAAATGAAATGAGTCTTTTAATTGATGGGGGTCTTGATATTACATGATAGTTTTCTTTTGTATGTGGTACATAATAGTGTATGTTAGGATCAGTGGTGTCTTACATTCAATGCAATACAGTATTTAGGTCATTTGAAGGGATTGACAAATTATTCTGTTTCTCCAACCTGTCTCTGTGCTGGAAAGAGACAACCTCATCATCATTTGAAAGGAACTTTTTTCTCCCTACAGCCTTCTTATAATAACAGCAAGCCTAATAATGCCAACAACAGTAAGCACTTATAAGCACATGATACTGTGCTGACACTGCTCTGAGAGCTTCCCATTCACCTCTTAAATGACTCTGTGTTAGAGGCGTGGCTATTATGCCCATTCCACAGATGAAGAAACTGAGGCTGAGAGGTAGAAGTGGCACAGCAGGGAATCCAGGCTATCTCTGAAGAAATTGTATATACTATGCTGCCACTAGTGATTCTGGGAGACAGTTGAAGTATCTTCATTTAAATCAGAGGTTTTTTTTTTTTTACTTAGTTTATTAAACTAATAAATCAGAGGTTTTTACCTACTTATGACTTAGAGTCAACTAGGGAGCTTTAGGAAAATGCTGAAAAAATTCTCCAAGGAATTCTTGAGTGCAGGCAGAGTCAAGAACCCCTGGCTTAATTGATCCACCTGAGGTCCCCTAGCTCTGCCATTCTGGGGCCTCTCTGGCCCTTACTATCTGATGCCACACCTCCGGGATAGGACAGCTGCCCAGTGTGGGCTGGCAGGGACAGCCTAAGCCTCTTATGCTTTTGGAGCTGAATCCCTTGGTTAGAAAACATGGGTGGGAAACCTTAAACCGATATGTGCTTTTAATTTTTGTCGTTTTCTTTTTCCTTTCTCTCTCTTTCTTCCAGCTCTGGAGTGCACAGAAAATCAAGCAGGTAATCCAGTTTTGGATTCTTTATTTACTTCTTCATGCTATCCTGGACTCCACCCTGCCCTGTCCCAGGGATTTAGTGGAAGCACCTCCTCCCATGGCTCTTCCGCGCTCTCACATTTGCCCCTAGCCCCCTCACCCCTTCTTCCTCCTTGAGCACCCAAGGGCCAGAGTCTGTGAAGCCTGGAGCTCAGGCCAGAGTGGCCTTTCCCTGGGTTCTCTGAGCTCCGGGAAGAGACAGGGCTTTGTCCACAAAATCCTTACGTGCCTACCATGTGCCAGGCATGGGGGTAGAGGGCCTGTAAGGTAGACACAATCCCATTCCCCATGGAATTTTGCTCTCCCCTACATTCAGCTTTTAGGATAAGTTAGGAGGAGGGGTGCTGTCTGTTTATGGCCCATGTTTTGGTATTCTCTTGCCTTGAGTGGTGTAAAGGCCTAATTGACGACAAGGCAACATACAGCCACTGTGTCTGAATCTTCCCAGGGAAATTGTCCTCTTCCCTCCTTCCTCCCCTAATGCCTCTGCTTTTCTTCCTCCTCCCTCTTCTTCCCCCTTTCCCCTCCCTGCATCCCTGTCCCCACCCATTCTCTGTTCTCGCTTTTGCCAGGCTATTCTACACCCGGACACCAATGAGAAGATCTTCATGCCCTTCAGAATGTCAGGTAAGCTCCTGGGGCCCTTCTGGTTCTGGTCAGCCTGGGGTGCTTATTCCACTCACAGCTCCAGGAGCGTCCAGATGTGTTGGCCTAAGGATGGGACACAGCCTGTCACAATTGTGGCCACATTTGCACCTACCTGTTCACCTCAGCTCAACCGTACAAGATGCTGGCCAGGCCTCAGAATCCTCTATGGAGCTTGCCCGCCTTTTCTGCATGAACAGTTGGGGTGGAGCCGGAGCTTCCACAGGTGAATCTGGTTGTCCCTGCCACTACCCACCCTACATCACTCAGCACCCACTAGGACAGCCTCAATGATGCCTCCATAAGCAAGCCCTGGCTTCTACAAGTCATTCCCCATCTCTTATCCATGCATGACCTGCTGTTTCCTTCCAAGTCATGCTCCCTGCCCTACCCCTTTTAGGCAGCCAGTCTCCAGCTTAATTTTCTGTTCTCTGATCCTGCAATGAGCTCTCCCTTCCCTTCAGAATGGATGCACTGCTGTACACATACAGAAGGTGGGATTCCTGTTCTGTAGAGATCAGTGGGCAGTGTGGGAGACAAGATCCCTACCCCAGGAAGTCCTGTTGTCACTGAAGAGGCAGCTGTGTATATGTGGGCTCTAGGGCTTAGAAAGCACTGGCATGTACACGAGCTGGGCCGGCATGCTTATCTCCCCAGTGGTTCTGAGAGTCACTGCAGAGTCACACTCATGGGTGCGCTGATGCCTCTTCCTTGCCAATTCTCAGTGCAGTGGGACGCACCCATCTTGAGTGATGAGGGTGGGATGGGAGAGTACTGCTGCTGCTGCCTTGGGAAGGCCTCAGGGGGGTGGAGAAAGGCAGTCTTAGTCAAATGGGTCAGTCAGGCTCCCCACCCCCAGAGAGCCTGACCTCATTGTGGGCAAGAAAATAAACAACCAGGGAGTGGATGGACATGTGATGTTATTGTGTAAACTGGGGCAGTGAGTGCCCTGTGACCCCCTTGCTTTGTCATGTCAGAACTCTAAGGCTCTGAGCATTTTTTTTTTCTTTATATTTGAGACAGAGTCTCACTCTGTTGCCCAGGCTGGAGTGCAGTGGCGTGATCTCTGCTCATTGCAGCCTCCACTGCCCAGATTCAAGCAATGCCTCAGCCTCCTGAGTAGCTGGGACTGTAGGCACACACCACCATGCCCAGCTAATTTTTGTATTTTTTAGTAGAGACGGGTTTTCACCATGTTGGCCAGGCTGGTCTTGAACTCCCGACCTCAAATGATCTGTCTGCTTTGGTTTCCCAAAGTGCCAGGAAGGGCTCTGAGCATCCTATAGTTGTGGTTGTAGACACTCCCAGTCCCTGTACCCGGCATAGCAGGCTCTAACCCTGAGCCTGGCTTCACTTGTAATTCCTGACCTTTTTGAGTCATGCATTCCTCTGAGGCCCCAGTCAAACTCTGGTTCTCTCCCCAGAGAGCAGTGAGTAGGAGAGCGATGGCTCATGTGTGTGCATGATTATGCACACTCAGGATGCAAGGCTTCACTTGAGATGTAAGTCAGATAAGCCTGATCCCGCTGTCCAGCCACTGCTCACCGGCTGCCATGGTTAGAGGTTGGGGACAGGAGGCTGTCCACTGACAGCAGTTGGGGCTGTGGAGGGAGCTTTGCTTGGGGGCTGAGAGCAGTGAGGAGGCCGTACCCAGGGCCTGGCTGCACTTCACCCTTGCTCCCTACTGAGCCACTGGGGATGCCACAGATTTAAGAAGCTTTGGCACTTAGAGGTGCATGGCTCAGATAGGGAGGGAATTTTCTTTCCAGAAATGGCCATGATGCTGGGGAAGTAAGGGCCTGTGTTAGAAAGACAAGCTGAGGGAAGAAGGAAAACATTCTGGGGTCCTTGGAGGATGTTCAGCTTCATGTAGTGAGTGTGCGCAGGGGTGTCATGCCTCGCAGGAAATCGTGGGAGGATCACCACATGTGGAGTGGTGGTGCCCGAGGCAGCGGCAGCCCTGCCTGCAGGAACAGGCCTCTGGGTTCCAGTGGAGAGTGAAAGCTGCCTGGCCAAAAACATCAGAGAAGAGGAGGCTGGGGACACAGGGACCCCTCTGCCCCGGCGAGGGCTGAGCTGGGAAAGGATCTGTGAGATTGGAGATGCCTCCCGCCTAACTGACCTGAGCCCCTTTGTCAGGACCATTGACGGCCTCAGACCTAACCTGGAAGCTCCTGGGTATCTCAGGTGAGATTCGGGTGGATTTTAAGGCCTGACCCTTTTCTTCTTGTTCACAGGTTACATTCCTTTTGGGACGCCAATTGTAAGTATTACCTTCAAAGGATTCCCTTTTAAAAAATTATTTTAAATGTCTAATGTTACATTATTGCTCACAGATACTTGACTGAGTTGTTGATTCAGGATAAATCAATTCCTGGAGGGAAATTACCAAATAAAATAATACGTATTTCTTACCGTGTCTCTCGATGCTGTTCGGCAAACCTCTTTTCATAAAAAGCCTGATGACTTAAATCCAGTGTGGAGTAGAAATTGCCTTCTTCCCTGCACGTTTTCTGTCCCCAGTGTTGTCATTAGCACCTGCTAGTCATAGAGAAGTTTTCTCAAAGAACCTGGGAAGTAGGAGTGGAAGCATGCCTTCTGAAAAATCTAAGTTTAAAATTAATTCAGAAAGAATTTTCAGCATTTTCTTTTGTTCAGTTTTAGAATCAGGATTATGTTTACTCTTTATTTTTATTGGAATAAAACATACAGAAAGGTGCATTCATCATAAATGTACAAATTTATGTACATTTTCAAAAAGCAAGCATATCCAGTAAACATCATTTAGATAAGGAATCAGTCTGGTATCCTCCCAACTGAGCTACTTCAGCCAGCTCACTTAAAGATTCAGAACTTCATCAGCATCTCGGAAAGCTCACATGTGTCCTTCCCAATCACCACCCCCATAGGAAATCACTTTTCTGACTTTTGTATTTTAGTTTTGCTTGTTATTGAACTTTATGTAAATGAAATCATCAGTATGTGCTCTTTTTTGTGTCTGGCTGCTTTTACTCCATATTTTGAGATTTGTTCATATTGTTATCTGTAATGTTTGTTCTTTTTTCATTGCTATATAATATTCCATTGCCATAAAAATTCAGAATTTCTTTATACTACTGTTGGTGAACATTGGGTTTTTCTAGTTTTGGGTTTACAACAAATAGTGCTGTTTTGAACATGCTTGAACATGTCTTTTAGTGGATATATGCCCTAATTCCTCTTTGATATAAACCTAGGAGGCTAAATTAAAACAGGCAACAACTATAATAAATGCAATGTGTGATCTGAGAATGGATCTGGGTTGGAGCAGGTGGTGTGTAAATTGTATTGCAGTTTCTTACAATGCTAAAAATGCACTTACAATATGACCAGATAACCCTACTTTTAGGTATTTATCTAAGGTAAATGAATATGTTTGTCTGCACACAGATCTGTATTTGAATGTTTATAGTAGCATTTTTCACATTAGTCTAAAACTGGAAACAGACAAAAATGACCAACAGATGTTAAAACTACTGGGTAAAGAACTAATTGAGAACAGAATGTTTGCCTAGTCTCAAATTTTTCTATAACTATCATAGATATTATTCCTTCTATGTTAACAATAGTTGGCATCCTCTTGAGTTCCCCTTCTGCCTCTTCCTTTAATGCTTTCTTGAAACTATCAGTATTTAGATACTGTTAATACCGTCTTTGTGTGCTTTTTTTATTCAGTAGTTAAAAATTTACTCCTGTCATTATTTATTTTGATATGCAAATTGGGCCACTTTTGACCCAACCTTAAATTAGTTTCTCTATTTGACATGTCCCCTTAGTCTTTGAGAGCTTCAGTACTCCCTGACACAACAGGATCTTCTAGGTTCACCTTTTCTTTCCCCTCCCCTTCCCTTTCCCCTCCCCTTCCCTTTCCCCTCCCCTTCCCCTCTTTTCTTTCCTCTCTTTCCCTCCCTCCTTCCCTCCCTCC